GGTCCCTAGCATCTCATGGTCCCTAGCATCTCATGGTCCCTAGCATCTCATGGTCCCTAGCATCTCATGGTCCCTAGCATCTCACGGTCCCTAGCATCTCATGGTCCCTAGCATCTCATGGTCCCTAGCATCTCATGGTCCCTAGCATCTCATGGTCCCTAGCATCTCATGGTCCTAGCATCTCATGGTCCTAGCCGAGTCCCTGGCGACTATGGGGAGTGAAACGAGTGTGGCAAATTTAATCACGTGTTTATTAGAATAATTAATGGCACATAGATATATAACACATATACGGTCTAGTAAATCCCACACAAAACAGAAAGTCTAATTAATCCCTCATGTAATTTTGGTGGCGAGAAACGCCCTGGCGGAAGACGTGACCAACAAGAGGCTCACTCCGCTCTTATAACTACAGGGATAACAACGTAACGCTAATAAATGAATGTTGCAACACATCAAGACACAAATACAAATCAGTAAATCAAGATCAAATAATCATAAGTATTGGAAATAAACCCACACATTTTCTATCAAAGGGAACATTGAGTTTGTACTGAACATTATAAATACCAAAAGAATTATGCTCAATTATATATTTATTCCAAGGCATGTATAGAAATACTTACGTTAAGCCTAGCTTTTCAATGCACTTATCTTCATTTTGCATCTAATTAACCACACTTTCAGCATTCGGCATTTTAAATTTATCTGTTTAGAAAAAATTATTGATTTAACAGAAATCGACGGTCAAACGGAAAGAAACATCACAATTTTGAGCAATCACCCCAGGCGATGCCCACTGACGGGTTCATTTCTTGACAATTCATCAATCTAGCCATTTCTTGATCTCAGCATCAACACTTCTGACAGTTTTACAGGCTCAGGAATAAAAATTTTATACTTTATAAAATTAAATTTCACACAAGTTTTTGTTATCTATCAACACCACACAATGAAAGAAGTCTGCGTGTTGAGCGTAGACAACTAAAGTGTCTTAATGGCTGAATGAAGCTAAACGGACCAGTTCAAAAATGTTCGTATGCAGTTTTCGTCTAATATTGATAAAACTTTCGCACGGGCGAAGCCATCAGGCGGATGACGTCATTGCAGGACATAAACATAAACGCTAAATTTGCCACCAAGTTTTAATTTAACACATATTATAACATTCTTTCTGGCCGAAATATCACCGTTTTTATAGTGATAATATAAAAGTTTAATATATCATGCAATAGTGATTAAACGTACGTACGACATTCACATGCTCTATAGTTTTCATCGTTGGTGTTTGCTACGTTGCGAATACAGAGGGAGTTTTGAAGTCATTAAATTTGAAACATATAGTCCCTTCGATTACAGTCTGTTATGGTGAGCCAGGTGAAAGATCGACAGTTAATTCGAAATTATTCATTATATCTAATAAGGCATGAAGAAGGTGTGCTAAAAGATTAACCGGGAGCTTATGGTGTCATAGACTTGCTTTTAGCAAATAAGTTGCATAAAAATTCTATTTATAATTGCTAAAGTCCTAAATTTATTGGCAGAGCGATGAATGCTTTAATACACCTCGTACAACGTCGATCAGTTTTTCATGTAACCAGTAATGCAACCCTACGATAGCACTCGACCTGCAAATGGTGATGGTAGATGATGAAAATTTGTAACTTTTCACAAGTTTAGTTGCTCCTTCTCTGAAGAATAACAGAAATAAATGAAATCTAGCAATGTAGGCACATAATTGCCTTTGCATTAAGTCATGATGTAGAAAGTTAGGTTGTATAGCTTATTTTATTTTCCAATGCATACGTGCTACCGAGATCAAGGTAATCTGAACGGTCTGAAGGGATCTCGGGTACGAATCCTGATGCGGTCGAATGATTCTTCCAGCAAAGAATTAAAGGTGTGTGAAAATATAGGGTTGCAAATAGTGTGTCTATATCTAAGTAATGCAACTTATTATAGTAAGATGCTCATATAATGTAACTGTCACGATGAAACATGTATAATTAAATCCAGTCATATGTGAACCGGTCATATGGGACAATTGGGACATGTTCAGAGAGCTGTGTTGTGAATTTCAATGAATATCTTATTTTATACACCAATCAATGCCATGTATTTTTTCGGAGTTGTCACCCATATTATCACTAGAGGTCAGTTTAAAGCAGTGGTTCCCAAAGTGGGCGATATCGCCACCCTAGGGGCGGTGGAAAGACTTTGAGGGGCGGTAAGGAAGAAGAGGGCGTTTGGGGGGCGATAGGGGGGCGGAAGTCCGAAGTCATTGTCAGAAGTTAGAACGTTTGTTTAATTAATTAACGATTTGTACACAACACGTGCAGAACATGACTCACAGCGATGATTTTTTTCGCCTAGCTATGTTTTTTTAACCTCTAGGGGGTTTATGTCTCCGACAAATCAACGGCCGGTTTCACTGCCAATTTCCGAATCCAATGATCAAGGAATATCTTTCAAACTAAATTCACAGTGATCAAGTTATTTCTTCCAAACTACTGAACAGATTCGAACGAAATTCTGAATTTACAGTCCAAACTACCGAACGGTAATATTTAGCTCGTGAACATTTTTTCGATTGTGCTTTCGTTCGCGAGTTTTTTTTCATTTCACCTTCATTCGTGATTTAAACAGCAATACGTGTTAAATACGCAGTAATCAAGAAATTTTTTCCAAACTACTGAAAATATTTGAACAGAACATAGACAACATTCATGGTCATCTGAATATGAACTTTATTCATGTAGAAATAAGGCGTATATTACAACATTCACGGTCATCTGAATATAGTATTTAAATACCTAACCTCAGCAACGGTGATGTTTACAATGTTTTCGTTTTGCCTTCGTTTGCGAGTTAAACGGCTATACCTATAAGGCTCTTGGTTATACCGGCCGGTTGAAAAGCCGGTCGTTCCTCCTATATCTGTATAACTCGCGAACGAAAGCAAAATAGAAAAATTGCCACCAGCTAAATATCACTGTTGAGAGGTTAGGTATTTATTTACAAAGTTTTGTTGAAATCTGTTCTGTAGTTTAGAAGAAATTTCTTGATCGCCGCGAATTTAAGTGACAAATTACCCGGCTATACGGGCCGAATATAAGGAAGTGTGAAATCAAGAATGACGGTGAAATGAAAAAAAAATCGCAAACGAAGGTAAAATCGAAAATAAATTTATAAGCTAAAAAATCGCCGTTTGGTAGTTAGGAATGTTTATTCAAAAATTCGTTCAAATCTGTTCAATAGTTTGGAAGAAATTCCTTGATCACTGCGAATTTCGGCCTGTTTCGCAATATACGCGTAACTCACGAATGAAGGTGAAATTAAAAAAAAAATTACGAGCTAAACATCACCGTTAGGTAACTTAGGTTCTGATGAATAAGTGTTCCAAGTTTCATAGAGCGGCTTTCATTAGTTTGGGGGATATTACTTGATAATTGAATTTGGAAATGGGTCGTGAGACTCGCCACGAGTCCGGTCGTAAATTCGCCCGCGACGTCTAGGTTTCTAGTGCTGAAACAGAATAAACAGCAGAAAAACATATTGTTCCACTAAATGGGGTTCTATGGTGAAATATACATTTGTGTTTAACCTTTATCTTTTAATACTGCAGCGTACTAAATTTCAAGAAAGAGGCGTATGTCTGTGGGGGGCGCTAGAAATTCACTAGGGAGCCAAAGGGGGCGCCAGCCTGAAAAAGTTTGGGAACCACTGGTTTAAAGGCTAGGCTAAATATAGCATTTAAATTATCACACTAGTATTGCTGAATACCTAATTTGATATTTAAAGTTATCTTAAATGCTTAAAATATTACCATTTTATTTCTTACAAGAACTCTCTAACTAGCATTATATATGTGATATCATTTGTCTGTCTGTGGAAAGAGTTCTTATGATGTTTCCAACAAATTTATTTATCACATGCTGCCTTATTATCCGTCATCAGGGCCGTGAGGCTCCCTCTTAGAAGCGCTCATATTTTCACGCTAATTGTAGCTTGAATTACGCGCTCCTGCTGGCTGAGTTGCGTTTTACGCGCCTGTGCTAACTCATTTTGGGACAAGCCAGGATAGACGCTGGTGAATCATTGGTACGCAGCGATTTCTTAGAATGTAGCGACAAGCTTGGCCACCTGCACAACGTCGGGGCAGATGCGGAGACACTCCTGCCAGTCGGCGGCAGAGACGACGCCAGCGTCATTCAGCGCCTGCTTCAGCTCTGGCCAGCGTTTCTTCAAGAGGCCGGGCTTGCAGCGGCTGAGGCCCTGTAGCGCGTACTGCAGTACTTCACGCAGGCTGGGAAAAAGCGTTCATGTAAAGGCATTTAAGGTGAATATCGCGAAGGGTTAAATTACCTGTGACATATGTAAGTTATTCTTTTCGCGTTTTGTTATAAGTTTTGAGTAGTTAGTTCTACAGACGCAACTAATGGCAGGTCTCCAAGACGCTTGCTAACTGTTGAGTTACTATAATCACACGATCTAGTGATATTATTAGAGAAATATAAATAAAACGAATAGATGCAGGTGAGGGATTGAAAATGAGATTGATTGAATGCAAGCGTATAAACGAATTTCGAAAATGTTGATTTGATGAAAGAGAGTTGGAAAAATGTAAGAATCAACGCTGTCATTATTCCCACTTGCTCCTATTCACTTGTTAACTTTGTAGAATAAACTTTGTAAAAAGAGGACCAATATTTCTCTCTATATTTTCCTGCAGCACAATCGACGTGTATAAAGTCTTGTAAAAATGTATATTAATTGGATCAACATATAGGGTATTGCGAAGGGTAAAGTTAAAGAGGTCCATAATAAGTATGACCTAGTCGAGTTTCACATTCACTCGATTGAAAGAACGCATCTAAATTTAGCCCTGTAATTAAAGATACGTTTCCTGCCAGTTATAATAGTTACGAGTGCATCAAGAATTCACTGCCCTTGATTACCGTGCGAATTTGATGGGAATTTTTGTTAATATCGTTTACTAAGTTACTCTAAACGACTTGTATTCCTCTCTGCTTCCTTACCTTCTCATTTCCTCAGGCTCGGCCTCCAAGATACTATTCAGGCTGTCATTGCTGGCTAGGATGCGCTGAACAACAAATTCGGCTGCAAACATTTCTTGGATTGATTTGTGATGGAAAGCGTAGGTGATATGTCCGATCCCAGAAAGAGGTCTGTTTACTTTCAGCACCATGGAGAGGATAATTTCAGAGCCACACTCCACCGTGTTATTCAGTATCGGAATGCATTTTCGTTGAACCTGACGCAGTTCTTCTTCTGAGAAAGTTACAATGTTTTCACGAATGAATTCCAATGCTGCGCTGCCAATGACAACAAACAGATCGTCTAACATGACTTCGCATTCACGATGAGTTACATTAGCAAGCTTTATGGTGACAAGCTTCTTATACAAGCGTAGAATATCTTTCGCCACGTCCCCGGGCTTTTCCCACAATGAGATTGTCTCAGGCATGTGCTTATGCATGTCGCAGAAAAGAATCAAGTTGATGGGTTCGGTGAACAGACTTCTGACATCTTCCTTCAGCGTTTTGAAGCTTTCTGTCATCTCACCTTTTTTGATGTCTAAACTCTTCTCATACCTTGTCAAAAATTCCAGCTGCTCATCCAGCTCAGTGAGCGGCTTTATCTCGAATTCGGTAGAATTGACATCGTTAGTAGCAAGAAGCATTTTCAGTTTCTCCTTCGCACTGTGAGGACGAGTCGTGATCAGCACCCGGCAGTTGCTGCTTGACGTCTTCTCGATGATCTCTCCCACTACGTTGATTGAAACTTGGTTTACTTCGTCGTACCCATCGATGACAAATAGGGCGTGTAGAAGTAAGAGGGCATCAAGGACGTTTTGTTTACCCTCTAATTCCCTACACAGAGCCTTAAAGTGCTGCTCGATGACGTCAGCTAGTGTTTTGGTGGTACGATCCCTGCACTCGAACAGGATGAGCTGGTCAAATTGCCGCAGGTAATCAGCATTTCCTTCCTTTAGCTCGAAAAACTGAAGCACGATGTTTTTTAGAAGAGTAGTCTTACCGGCACCAGCAACACCGGATATTATAATTGCCTTCTCAGGAGCATTGAAAATTTCGGGGTACGGCTGAACTTGACCTTTCGGGCCTTCTCTCACCATCACGTCGAGAGCATGAAATACTTCCTGACGCTGCACATTACTGTTGAGTAGCGGGAGGGTCTCTTCGGATAGTTTGGTTATCCAGAGGTTCTTAACGGCCAGTTTTCCTGACATATTTAATATCATACACCAGTAATAAATGCTCTTTTTGTCCAAAGTCTGCAGCCTTTCGAAGTCATCATGTACATTTTTCTTCTGATTTTCAACTTCGGACTGTGGCAGTGAATAGACCCTTTCGGCTTCTTCAATTAGCTCTAACAAAGCAGTCTTCAAATCACTGAATTTTTGAGGGGTCAATGTTACTTCGAACTCGTGCATGATTTTGTTTCGCAAATCCTTGACCTTACGCAGCTTGTTTAGCAGTTTTTGAAACTCCCTCGCCTCATCATTCTTATCTAAGGGAGACAGCTTCTCAAGTTGACACTTTCTATCTGCAGGAGGAAGCTCCTCGTTTTTGTCAGGTTGTCTACCGCCACCACCCATACTCGCTGTAGCGGTTACCACGCCTCCGCCACCTTCTTCACTTTTATTTTTTGAATTGGAAAGTTTTTCGCTCCGCCAGCACTCATCATGTAACCTAGAAAGTTTCTCCAGCAGACAGAACAACCCAGTGATGTCTAAATTATCAGGGTGGCTCAAATCTCTCGAGATTAACCATTCATCACGTTTCCATTCATTTTCAGTTATTTCCCTGCCCTTTAGGCGTTCCATGTATTTTTTGTAGCTCTCGTCGCTCTTTTTGTCGACACATTCTTTGCTGACAACGAATCGGATGACCTTGGGGGCCACGTACAGCACACCAACAACATTGCGGTAAATCGCGTAGTTTTCATCAGTCATACGTTCTCCGGCAGGCATCGAGCTGGCCGGCACTGACTGCCCGGCCATTACGCAGGATCTGTTGAGTTGAAAAATAGTAATGAAATAAAGGGAAGCGAAGTACGCAATATTATTTGAGAAAAACTTTGATACCTACTGCTGAAACTTGATGAAGATTGTCATTTACGTTGCTCTGAGGTTTAGTTAGTTACTATTACCACGAAAATCTTAATCTTGGGAGTTTAATGTTGAGATGAATTAAAGTTCATATGAAAATGCATTAAAGTTCATATTAATTGAGAAATTACTTACGATGTATAACATAAAAATGATATAGGGCCGAATTGGAAATAAAGGTAACCTCATGAGTGATATGAGTGATTGACGTGCACGTCATATGGTCGGATTGCTGACTTTTAGACTTAGCTTGTGGTCAAATGAATTATAATTGATGACTGAGAGATCAGACTTGAGCAAAAGTCTTGCATTCAACAAACGATATGGTAGATATATACAAACAACATAAAGTGATGATAGATATGTCATTTGTAGGCATCAAATTGGTTTGTCCTTGCCTATGACGATCGAGGAACCATGTTTCTAGCAAATGATTGTTATATAATAGTTGTTCTCTCTCTCTCTCTCTTTCTCTCTTTCTCTCTTTTTCTCTTTCTCTCTTTCTCTCTTTCTCTCTTTCTCTCTTTCTCTCTTTCTCTCTTTCTCTCTTTCTCTCTTTCTCTCTTTCTCTCTTTCTCTCTTTTTTCTCTCTCTCTCTCTTTCTCTTTCTCTCTCTCTCCCTTTCTCTTTCTCTCTCTCTCTCTTTCTCTTTCTCTCTCTCTCTCTTTCTCTTTCTCTCTCTCTCTTTCTCTCTCTCTCTCTCTCTTTCTCTCTCTCTTTCTCTCTCTCTCTCTCTCTCTCTCTCTCTGCATCCATCACTTCGTGATGGATGCTGCTCAACGACTCCTGTATCGCTGAGCAAGACGTGTCTTAAGGCCAGACCGTTATCAGAGTCGAGTCCTCATGATAAGCGTGTCAGATATAACGTCCGAACAACACAAAGATTCCATGCTAGAGTTGGAGCGCCGTCACCTCACTTCCACAATTCTAATTTTAACTGCTAAATGGCTAAGTCTTTTGATTAAATTAATGAAATAGGATGCACGACTTTGTTAACTGAACTACATGCCTCAATGGCTTGCATGCTTCACTCGCTCATCAAATCCCATGAAAGTTGCTGTAAGATTGCAGAAGTAGTCGCTACGTCTTGGCTTTGCGACTGTGAACGATAAGGGCACAATAGCCAGACATTCGAGAACTTTTTAACGTTGTAATCCAATTCAATTTGAAACACTATAAGCATGTCTATAAAAAACGTGAAGAAATGTATGAAAGGAAGATATGTGTACCTGGCTTTTCTTACTGGCCCTTCCGTAGTCCGTTAATTATTGAGAATGCACTCACACGGGAAGTCTTGATTTGAGTAATGACGAGAAAATCGTGACGAAATATTTCTGCTTGTTGCAGTCCAAGAACACGACTGCATCACTTATTGTAAACTGTGTGTTATCAAGCTCACCAAAAACGTTGTCAGCTGCGGTTGACAAAGATGTCAATATTTTTGTTAAAAAATTGCAATATATTTTTATTTCTCCAACACAATTTTTTTCTAAGTTTCAAAGTTCTTCCAATAATGAATCGAAATACTGGAATGAAACGTCAATGAAATCAAACGTCAATGATATAAGAATTCGATTTTTCTTGAAAGCATACCTGGAGTGGCCACCACTGAGCGTAACGATAAACCCTCTTGATCTTACAATTATCACAACACTTGCGGCGCGCTCAACATGAATGGGAGCACACCGACTTGTGCTATCTTCTAGATTATGCCAAGCCAAAGTAATCCAAGTGGAACAATTTCACCACATCTACATTGCACCCACAGCGCTCGATAAGACTTCACTGTGCCTCACTAGCAAGCTGTTGTTCAAGACATAAATGCAAAGGTAAACTGAAACTTAGGATAAGATTACACCAGATAAATGCACTGCATGAAATTCTACCTCAACCATATGCTGTCCTGTGTTTCGAGGTATTGAGTTACGGCCTTGGTAGGTGGTGAATAAATTCGCCGTCAGTTACTAGGTCACAGCCTTCCTCAGTTGTGAGGGTTAAGCAATTTCTCAAATATAATAGCGAGGAATTTAATGTTGCGATAATGTACTTGTCATCTATCAAAATAATTACTAAGATAAAAGGGAAAGTTATCATTAATTCTCGTGAAAATTGCGAGAATTAAGGATAATTACCCCTAAACAGTAACAGAGTGACTTCCCCAAAAAGCACTACCTAATATCGATAAAATCAAATTACTCTGTAATTTAATTTGGTTTATAAAACAAACTCAAAGTAATTAATTTTACAAATTCAGCGCTTATCACCCAGAAGTTGCTTTGCTGTTCATTAGAAATGACATCTTTTGATACATTGGCTGCACTGCGTGTTTCTTCAGAGCGTGAGCTAATATTGTACATATATATTATAATATTAAGTTCCGCAATACAGCAGGCATTAAAGAAGGCTACCAGCAGTCCAGGGGAGAAGTGCTGTAATAAAGCAGGCATTCAGTACAGGAAGATCAAGTACAGGAAGATCAAGTGCAGGAAGATCAAGTGCAGGAAGATCAAGTGCAATAAGATCAAGTGCAGGAAAATCAAGTGCAGGAAGATCAAGTGCAGGAAGATCAAGTGCAGGAAGATCAAGTGCAGGAAGATCAACTGTCGGAAGATAAAGTGCAGGAAGATCAAGTGGCAGTTGAAGACGCCAGTCTTTTTAGGACAACAGGTGTATGAATCTATTTACGGTAATTAATAGGAATAAATTTTCTGGTAATTACCATCATCTGGAGTTGCCAGGCTCAGGTTTTATCCCGAAACGATTTGTATACATGGTAGTACGCGCCCCAACAGCCCATATACTGTATATTGCGATGCCAGGCTTACAGAACAAGAACTTTTACAAACACATATTAGATTTGCAAGATTTGCAAGTTGATAAACCATCTCTGCGAAGGTGTGAAAAACAATCATCAGGGTCCCTCCTGTTTCGCTGTTCGAAATTGTAGCATTCTACTAGAGCAAAATTTCAGCCACTATGATGAAACTTAGTATTCTAGTATGCCAGCTAGTATTCTAGGGCAAAAATTCAGCCATTACTGTGGAATGAGTGTTAGGGACGAATTAGATACTTCAGCTCTGTTACAAATTTTAGGCGGCAGCCCAAAAGCGATATCGCCACTTATTGAACTTCAGTCCAGCAATCTTAGGCGGAATCGGGTCGCCTCACGGACATTTTTCTAATTATTTCATTGTTTTTTGAGTCGTAAAAAACGGCTGCTTACACAAATTTCCTAAATGAACCGATTGAAAATTAGTAGGTTAAAATAGCTAGAACAATACTTAGTTTGGAGTCACAAACATGAAATTTAAAAGCTCAAAGCTGCACCAGAAGGCGCGTAGTTACAGGCGCTGACACTCGCTATCTTCCCCGGCCTGATAAGCGGCCTCCTGCTTATCTCGCCGCGCAGCTCAGGAGCTGCAGAAATTGTGACAGGACTTCGAAGTCATCCAAAAGAGCGTGAGTAAGTACGACAGATTAATTGCTTTTTAGCAATCAATCTGTTCATTTATTTCTACCTATCATCTACCTATCAGGCTAGCCGGCGTGACACATAATCTCTGAAATTTTATAAATCCGCAAGCCCCAACCCGTAATTTCTGATTATGTTAAGGATAATAAATCGAATGTGGGCCAATTAAATAGAGACTCGTTCTAACCCTCGTTTTTCAAGGAACATGAAAATCTCAGTGGGTGTTTGTTTCAAAATATGAAAAAAGTTGTCGTTATAATCAAATTCATTTATCCCAATTAAAAAGCCTAAATTTTTCTTTTCTCTCAATTTTAGGTCCAGAGCGGTCCAACTATGTCCACCGAGACGCGGGAGAAATGTTCTGAACAACCCCGATATACAACAAAACACATACAAATTAGTATAGGAACATCTGCATAAAACACTTGGGGTGCTATTATGGTAAAAATTCCCTAGCAACAGCCGACAAAATAGATTGCTGAGGAATGCTGCATGCTTATTATAGGTAGCCGGTGAGGAGACAACGCCAAAATCTGAACAAATGGCTTAAATATCATGGCTTCGGCAGACTAAATAGACATCAAACTAATCTACGAATAATGGGGGATGAGTTCTACCTTATATTTTAACAAATATTAATAAAGAGTCGTATATGCCGCTGACTGATAACTAAATAGTGCGTGGTTTCGTTTTTATTTCAAATTTTAGGCAGAAGTCTAGGGAAAATCGCATTTTCTTTAATTCAGACCAGAAGTTCCAATTGCGGCCGTATGACAATTCGGACATTTTTAATCTATTCGTGTCATTTTACAGCCCTCAATGAAAAGGATCTCCCAAAAAATTCGAACTGAACTTATGCAAATAACAGAGGATATGAACTATAGGAAAAATTGTAAGCTTGATGAGTACTAAGTTTAGAGTTACGAACATGATGAGTAAAACTCTACACGTGCACCAGAAGGAGCGTAGGTGCAGGCGCTAACATTAGTTATCTTTCCCGGCCTGATTAGCGGCCTCCTGCTTATCTCGCGGCGCACCTCGGGATCCGCAGATAACGGAAATTGTAGCAGGGCTCAGACAAAGTGTTCTAAAATTGCGCGAGGAAAACGATGGATTGGTAGTTAAATTTAAATCCCGACGCGATAAGTATCCTGGTTACGCGCCACAACAGCCCCTATATACAATATCCCGACACGATATGTATCCTGGATACGCGCCCCATTAGCTCCTTTATACAATATCCCGACACGATATGTATCCTGGATACGCGCCCCCAATGGCCCCTATATACAATATCCCGACACGATAAGTATCCTGGATACGCGCCCCAACAGCCCCTATATTCAATATCCCGACACGATAAGTATCCTGTATACGCGCCTCAACAGCCCCTATATACAATATCCCGACGCGATAAGTATCCTGGATAC